ACTACTAGCGTGGCACTTGTTACTACTAGCGTGGCACTTGTTACTACAGAAGTCCTTTCTTTCCTCCCACATGGCCCAATGCCTCAGCCCAATCAAGATCCGACACAAAGCCCGTCGTCTCCCAGGGGCCCAGCTGGCGTCCTGTCGTGACATCCCGACATCTCCGCATGCTGGGATTGTTCTGTTGCGGGCCCTACTGTAAGTCTCCAGACTGAAGCTCGAACGGTCATCCAAAGCAACCTGGGCAAGCCCCTTTTACGCATCGCTACAGAACTCCATCAGTCAGTTAAAGGCGTCCTTGGCTTCCTGGCATCCTTGGAATTCAGTGGTACAACTCATACATTAGTGGAAAGACACTGTCAAAGGCTGAGAATGCCGCTGCATAGCGTTGGCCTGGGGTGAGAAACTGAGGAAACTTCTAGCCTACATTGTTTGCATGTTATTATATGAGAGACACCCTCTCAGTCGGAGACCTCATTGTCAAGGCCTGCTGCAACATTCAGGAGTTAGAAGCTTCAGTGGAGACATGTCGACACACTAGACCAGCCTGCAGGTTGCAGCTCACACCTGTGCAACACACATAATTGAATGCAACATCCATTGTGACTACACGCGCAAAAGTGTATCATTGCAGCCACGTTGCACCCGCATACTTCCAACCAAGTCATATCACATTGAAAATTGTAATCAAATGCGCTGCAAGCACAAATGCCTCCTGAAAAAAGCCAGGCGGTCTTGGTAGAGGTAGAGACCTCAAAGCTCATAAATGAGATTGACCCAAAGGTTCTTTTCGGGAGGCCATCGCTATTAGGCTGGAGGCCATCGCTTCTAGGTTGGAGGCCATTGCTATTATTAGGCTATGACTCTTAGATATATATAGTTAGAAAACGTTTGACATTTGGTGCTTGGAATCTCGCCCATGAGCCCATGGAATGGACGGCCCGTCGTGACCTCATGCATCAAGGTGCGCGTGAGCATGCGTGCGTCCTTACGTGCGGCTTTTGTTACGCAAATATCTATGTATGCCACTCACCTACCGTCATGTTACTAGTAGTAACAAGTGCCACGCTTCTAGTGACAGGTGCCTTACTAGTAGTAACAAAGAAGCTACTAGTAACAAGTGCCACTCACCTACCCTCATGAACCTATGGCGAGATGTTTGGACTTACTTGTTTTCGACGTTCAAACACTGCCAACCGCCAACTATCAAAAATGAAAATGTCATTTTAGGATCTTCCCACAAAAAATACTTCACACCTTACCATCCTCCCTACACTTTGAGTCCCTCACCGTGGGCAAGGGCTGAATATATGCGCCTTCCACCTGCAAAGGCATTCTCTTGGAGCGATTATATAATCCACAAACAATGGGTTCTGGCGCCTTCCGCGGAGCTTCCCTTACCTTGCGTTCCCGGATGACGGCGCCTGTGTCTGGACCTCGGAGCAAGTAATAGAGGCCATTCGGGTTGCATTCAGAATTCAGAGCCACCCTGAAATACTAAACCAAGTACAGGATTGAACCCAGCGGCATTCATGGCTATCATGGTCCAAATAATCTCCCTTAAATTTTGCGTTCGTGGCCTTTGCTTTCGGTAGAATCTCGGTTTGGACAACTCTCAAAGCTTCGGGCTGAAGGTGACACTACTGCAACCGCCTGCCTGCGAGCGACTCAGTCGTCGTTCCAAAAGAAATATATAGTATCTTCGAAAACAAATCCCTTTCTCTCGTCCTTTTTTTCATATCATTTTTGGGGTGCGGAGTAGGTTGTGAAGAGGTAGCAAGGAAACTACCAGCAGTAAAGACGCAAAGACAGGGCAGAGCAAGGGAACAAAAGCACACCAGCCTCAAAGTCAACCACAGCCATGCTGAGGTTGTCTGAGTTGCTCGCGACCTCCACCTGTCACAGTGTCTGCAGCTGCATGGATTGATGACTTAGTTGTTCGCCAAATATCTAAGCAAAAATACCAAAAAAAACACACAAATTTCAAGTCCTGAGCTCAGAGATAGACTACAGAGAAGGCTTCTCAAGGAAGAACTTCAAGTGTTTCATTGAACCTCGTCCTTGACTCCCTGACGCGGGGCCTCGAGATAGACTCCCTGGCTGCATCCCTCAGCGACGACATCTGTACAAAGCCGGCATCGGAGGTAAGCAACCTGGAACGATCGCTTGGCCCTTCAACATGCAATCAGAAACTTGGCCAAACCAATCAGTCTCAAGAAATATTCATATTATCATAAAACACAGAACCCGGATGAGCCAGCTCAAGAACCACCGTTCTACCTTCTTCAAAACCATTCAAAGTGCTTTTGGGGATCCCTTGTTGGAAGTGCTGCTGGAGCCTCATCAGGATGTGCCACCGATGTGATCTCCCGGCCACTAAAGGGCGAACAAAAGGTGGGCACCTCAGAGCACAGCTGAAAGTCGTCGCATCTTTGACCGTGCGTCGTGTCTCTCATCTTAGAACCGTCAAGATCGTCAAGGATGGGTCTGTGGCAGCAGTCAAACCCTGATGACCCTCTGAAATCCTTCTCGGTCAAGCACAGTAAGCTCTTGTTCTGAATGGAAAGTGAACACAATCTCAAAAAATATATACTTAAATGTATTGACCGAATTCATCATGTTTGTTGGATGTCTTCCCTGTCAGGGAAAAAGACCTGTTCGCATCTCAGAATCGAACGCTGTGCTTGAAGTGGTGGTAACGGACCTTCCAGTCCACGCGGCTCATCTTAAGCCTTCCACTCACTGAGACTGGGAGAACAAACCAAACTGAGCGCATTCATTTTGGGGAAGAAATCCAGGAGCGAATCAACTTCGTCACAGGCCTGCTGCGTTGTCCGTTCTCTTGGTTGGGGTCCTTGTCAAGTCAAACCAAGAACTAAAGCACTGTAAAAAGTAAAAAATGTACCTTTGGTGCGCATGTTCTACATTGTTCTACTTTACCGGGTGCTGTTTGTGCGTTCAACTTTCGCAATCTCAAGAAGTCTCGGCTTGTCTCGAACTAAGAACAGCACTGGCTGGTCAAAGGTTCCCTCCCGTTCCAGCTCGACACCATGGAATGCCTGGCAGGCGATACTCCTGCCAAATATTCCAGGATGTCTTTTTAAAGTACTGGACACGTCACCACCTTTTGCATTGCCATCGCTGTCGAAATGTTTCTCAACACTTTGTTTGGTGTCCATGCTGACCCTTGGGAAGAGTACACTGTGCCTTCTGTACCTACACCTTCCAACACCATTGGCGTCGGCGAAAGAAGTTGACACGCTCAGCTCAAGGCCCGGGTGCCCAGTGCCCGCCATGGTCCCAAGTTGGTTCGGCTTAGCTGTCGCAGCCTCGGAAGTTGCCGCTGACTTCTTTTGCAGATGTGGCCCATCCACGGCCATCCAAATAACAGGACAATGACAACACAGTACGCCCAAAAAAAAAACAAAGTGTCAAGTCTTAGCCTCGGCGAGGCGGCGCCTTGGATACAGAAGATAGAAACTTGGGAGCTGCCGTGGTTCCCACCGGCCCTGCTCTTCGGCCCGTAGTCGCGTCCTTGTTCCTAGGTAGTAAGGCCAGGAACCCCTAGTAGCCGTGGCTCCCACCCTGCTCTTTTATCGGGTGTCAAAACTGGGGCTCTACCATGTTCTCTTTTATCTCTCCTGCTTCCCGCCTCTTTCAGCGGGCTTGGAAACTGCCGTCTGGCATTCATTCGGCCGCATTCGGGGCGCAAACCTAGTCGCATGGCCCCCACCACTCTGCACCTGTGTCCGTGGGCTTTGACCGTGCCATCTGGCACCTTTTTGGTCGCTTTTTGGTCGCTTCTTGCGCGCAGAACTACATGGGCTAAGGCTGGCAGGGAGTTTTCTTGGGGCTGGAGCAGTGGCTGGAAAGGGTGGTGGGATGTTAGCGACTGGAGCGGGTAAGGTGCGAGGACAATTACCAGTCGACTCCTCCTCTGGAGGGGCATGAGATTTTTAAGAAAAGCTAAATCTAGGAAACCCATCAGGTATATCCATGGCTTTGGCCCCTATGTCAACTTGGCAGGCTTACACAAGCAACCTCGGATTGAACTGTGCATGCTCGGGCAGTTGCGCAACGCCTGGATTGATTCTCACTTCCACAGGCTTCACGTTCAGAATTTCTATCTATCGCCCTGTTGTTGGCTGATGTGATCAGGATGGGTCCTTGTGAGGCTGGATGTTTTTGATCGCCTGGTGATCTTCTTCCACCCGGGTTGACTAAGCGTTTGGAGACTTCTGTTTGTGGAAAAGCACTGCAAGCATTCCAACAACCCAGCCCCATCTTGGCTGCAAAATGAAGATCCCACACAAGCAGCTTTGTGACAGGGACCATCCCCAACCCCAGTCTTCCAGAAAATATGGAACGGCACTTGGGGATTCGGGGGGCCCTTAAGCATTGGCTGGAACTCAGCGAGTGAGTCCAATGGAGACATGTCTTGGCCAGTCGCTGAAAAAATGCAGCTCAGGATAGCGGCTCTGCTCAGCCTCCTTCTTCCCTCTAGCGGATCTGTGCCCTGATGGCGGATGTTTAGGCAGCTGTTGACATGCGCACGAAAGTTCGCACTTGAGCGCCGCAACTAAAGGGAAAGGCTACACGAACTGACAGATTTCGGCATTTTACGCGTTTCGTATCTGAAAACTTGCCCTTGAGGCGATCCCCACCCAGGAGTTTTCCATTCGCCCCCTATGTCTATTGCATTGCTTCTTTTGTCTGACGTGCCTTCTCAGGCCTCTCAGGACATCAAAAGGATAGCTGCAAAGTTCGTAGCTTGCAATTGCGCACGTCGCAGAGTGTTCGGTCAGCGGCACCAGGGCATTATATAGCCAATTCTATAAATCCCTCACGTCACTCTTCCGTACCGTCCAGTGCTCTTGAGCGTTCAATCGAAAAGCACCCCAAAACAAGAGAGTACGATCTGTAGAAACATGATTGACAGTGGTATTCTGGCGGATTGCTTTTCTCGGGGAAAACCGGGAAAACCCCATTGAAAGGCCAAGACTTTAGCCAACCACAATGCCCATCTCTGTTGAAGGTCACACAATGAATCCAAGCCTGAGGCATCTTGGCCCCAACAAGAACACCAACTTTCCACAGCTTTGCGAGCGGCTGTGTCATTCGACCCATGGCCTGGGTCAACCCAATTCCCACCCTTGTTCTCTTGCCTTTGGCAACTCAAGGATGGGGAACACATGCATGTACAAACCCGACCTCTGGCTCTGTGCTAAAGGTTCTGTATCTTTTAGTGGCGGGAGGCGCACAACCCCCAAATTTGAAAAACTCTCCTCAAAGCAGCCTTTTGTGAGCACAAAAGTCCGCAAAAACAGAAACAGCTCACACCTGCAGCGCCATAAGGTAAAGCAATGTAAAACACACTGTTACTTCCTGAGTCCTTCCAAGGTCAATGCAATTTCTGGCCATCGCATCTTGGTGTGGTTGTTTCCTGTACAAAACTTTGCCTCTGTGCCATCCCACTTTGGCTCATGAATGGTTTGGCCTCAGGACTCTATGAAACGAATGAGAAGGCATGTGTGTTCTTCTCTGTGTGGACATGCACATCAACCAACAGCCGGGAAGGCACCGTAGGGTAAGGGATCAAAAAATATAGAATCAAAAAACAAATACTCAACGGGATCAAAAAAAGTAATCAAATATATATATATATATATTCTAGCCCACTGAGGACGGTTGGGGTTGGGCATCGGCTCAAAACATGGTGGTAGTAGTAGTAGTAGTAGTACTAGAGTAGTAGTAGTAGTAGTAGTAGCAGTAGTAGTAGTAGCAGTAGTAAGTAGTAAGTAGTAAGTAGTAAGTAGTAAGTAGTAAGTAGTAAGTAGTTAGTAGTAGTAGTAGTAGTTAGTAGTTAGTAGTTAGTAGTTAGTAGTTAGTAGTTAGTAGTTAGTAGTTAGTAGTTAGTAGTTAGTAGTTAGTAGTAAGTAGTAAGTAGTAAGTAGTAAGTAGTAAGTAGTAAGTA